TGTGTGTGTGTGTGCTGTAGCTGTCCTTTGAATTTGTAAGGAATGGAGAACAAAAGCAACATTCCAGGCTCCTGGCTCCCTTTCTTCTTATGCCTCCAAGGGGTACTTTTCTTAAACTAAGTTTTGTTTTTTTCTTTCATGCATTTTGCTCCCAGTCTCATAAAAAAGAAATCATAAAGCTACTATCACCCGGTGTCCCATGCCAATTAACACCTTTCTTATATTTCAGTACATAAAATTAAGCACCCTCCTTTTGCTATTGGCATCTTATGAGACACACGAGCCTAAGTGTATTCACTTGTAAAGGAAAGGGCTGGACCAGATTTGTAGTGCTGAAAATGTGCTTTATCCCAGGGTTCCTCAACCCGGGCACTATTGCGGTTTGGGCCTAGATGACTCTAATTGGAGGAGGTGCTGTTCTGCATGTTCTCAAGGGTTGGCAGCATTGCGGGCCTCTACTAACTACATTCCAGTAGTTCATCTCATCCCCTGAAGTTATAACAACCAACAATGTCTCCAAGTCTTGCCAAAATGGTTCCTGGGGAACAAACTATCCCCCTAGTGAGAGCCACTTCTCTAATGAATGTGCATATGTGAATCCCCTGCGGAACTTGGTAAATACCTCAAACTTGAAGTTTACTTCAACAACCAGACTTCTGTTTTTTAATTAGCCTTTTTGATATGTACGGGTGTTTGAGACTCATCGGGAAGTGGCTCAAGAAATGGTTCTCAAAGTATGGCGCCCTCCTCACCGATCTCACCACTACTAAGGCACTTCCTAGAGTACAACATTTGGGACCCCACTGAATCAGAAACTCTCAGATGAAAGCCAGTCGTCTACAAAAAGGTACAGGTTAGGATAAGTTAGAATCTTGCATTATTGGCAAGGTGTATGGAAGTGAGGTAGAACCATGGAGAACTATCTCTCAAAACACAGAGCAAGGACCATTGGGCAGAGCCTGGCCTGCGATAAGGTTCACCACCCTGCACAGTTCTTATCAATGATCGTCTGACCATTGTCTTACGCTGGGTACTCTGGGGATACCAAACCAGATTTATCTCAAGGAAATGACGCATGGAGGCAACTGTGGAGACTGGCAGGTCCCAAGTGTGTGGGTCAGACATTAGCTTGGAGACTTCTGATTCATGTAGATGCAGGGACAGATGACTCCCAAAACTGCAGGCAATACTACAGGCCAATGGCTCAAGTCCCAGGAGCCAGATGGCCAATGATGATGAGTAGGATGCAGGACCCAGAACAAGCAAAAGAGCCGGCAAACTTTCCCAGAATGTGCATATTTATTAGATGTAGGACACTTCCCTACAGGTCATGTCATTGGAAGTAATTACATTATACTACAAAATGGAGGAATAGCATATCATGACATAGCTGCCCAACTGCTGAAAATCATGGGCAAGTTCACTTGACTTATAGTTTTAGCCATCATAGTCATGAATTTTTTTGTTTAATCTAGCCTTAAGTGGAAAATGAGATAGATAAATTTGGGGAAGGCGGTACTTGAATGATGATGTCACAGAACCCTGTCTTCCTTAATAGCTCAAATTCAGGAATGTTTCATAGGATTTGTAGCCCCCACTCAAAGACTTACTCTTTGAGCTTTGACAATGATGCTAGACCAGTAGTTCTCTACCTTCCATTCACATTAGTATGACAGGGGGAATCTTTCTGAATAGGAGCCAGATATCATCATTTTAAGTCCTCAGATGATTGCCATATTCACGTAAATTTGCGTCATCAATTGAACTGTTTCTCTAAAGTCAGGTTGAGGTTGTACAGGTAAACAAAATATATGAACGTTTTCAAAATTGGTGTGGCATAGCCTGTAGGCTTACATCTCTTTGCCAATGCCAATTCTTCCTTTAGGTTTTCCTAGATCTTTCTAGCCATAAGTCTTTAACTGCATCTAATCCAATGTATACCTTAATCAGTTATGCATCACAGCTCTGTTTATTATGGTTGCCCCTCATACAATATTATGGACTCCCCAAAGATAAATACCCTAATTTATTCATCTCCCCTCCTCCTCAGGCCACCTACTCAGAATAGCTATGCAGACCACTAAAGATGTTGACATATTTTGAATAATGGGGCCATGTCATAAAATTCAGTGACAGTCTACAGCACAGCATCCTGGCAACTTGGGCTGTCTTGAAGCCAGACTTCTCACCCTAATGTGCATCAAAACCTTCCACTAGTGGATCCACAATCCTAGCTTCCAAAGGTTTATCTGAAAACAGACACTGCTGGAGGAACTGTCTAAACAAGAGACCCAAGTGCAAGCTCTGGAACAGGGAACCACCCAGGTATTCACTTGGCATCAAAATGGAATTTGTCCATCAGGGAGATGAGTCAACAGAGGAAGGTTTGGTGAAGAGAAAATAAAAACATGATTATTCAGGTGTTATCCAGTAAGGACTGATCATGGCCAGAGGGGTCAATCCACCAAACTAAATGAAAGTCTGGCAACATCTGCGGCATAATGACTGGTCCATACAAAAGCCTTCCCTGGGGAATTCTTGTCAATCAGCTGATACACGCAGTTATTTCTCCTTGCCCTTCTTTCTGCTCATGGCATTGGTGGCCAGCAAGGCTTTGGTGAAATCCCCACCCCAGGAATGCCTGCAGGAGGCAGACTGGAGTGAAGGTCTCATGTATAAGCTCCAAGGCATCGCTGGGAGGGTGTGGAGCCAAGGACAGGGAAGAAGGGATGTAAGTACCTTGGCTCCGAAGGTATTGATAAAGGAAGAGAAGGAAGAGAGTCAGAGGATCAGAGCAACCAGTGGTCAGCTAGTTGGTCCCTTGGAGTCTGGCAACCATTTCGGTCAGCTTTCCAGTTCCTAGAGTGGTGATCATTGCTTAAGTCCTGGGGCTGTTGGAGTCATTGCCTCTTTGTTCAACTCCTACAATAATAATAATCTACATCTGAATACGATTTGACGAGTTGTAACATTTGGCAGTTGTAGGAGATGAGGAAACTGAGGCTTAGCTGCACAAACTCACACAATTGGTAAACCAACAGACAAAGGAAAGAGTTCAGAGGTCCCTTGCTTGAGCAGTGTGCTACTACCTTCAGCACAGAAAGCTGGCCCTCCATTGTCCCTGCTCTGCTCCGTTCCTGCGTTAACCCATTGGCTTATCTACCCGCACAAAGTAGGATGGAACCAATCCTCCAGGGAGAGAGCAGTCAACAACTTTGATTCTGAAGGTCTACTGTGGGGTGCGCTCTCCCTCCCCAAATCTAAGCTCTATGAACTTGGCCGAAATCCTTCTGCTCAGATCAGTCCCCGTGCTTCCCTCGCGGTCCGTGATGGACGTTTCTCGCTGAGCTGACAGAGGGAAGAGGACTCGGGAACCCGCGAGGGCTGGTACACCTTCCCGAAAAGAACCGACGCTCTCCCTTTCGGACGGTCGATCGCTCTCATCTCTACCCCGAGGCCGACGCTATCCACTCCTGCACCGACCGGGGACCCGCGCGCAGTGTCCGGGGTCCCGCGGGCCAGGGCTGGCTCCGGGGCCGGCGCGGGGTCTGCGGCGGGGCTCGCCGGGCGCGCGCCCAGCACCGGCTCCGCTCCGGACGCGGCGGCCGGGCGGCAGGAGGAGCACGTGAGCTGTGGGCGTCCCTTGAAGAGCGCCCGGCCGGCCCTCCGCCTCCCAGTCGGGGAGCAGCCGCGGTCACCTGGCGCTCGCCGGGTCGGCGGATCGCAGCGGGGCCCGAGCCAGTGCGGGAGGGGCGCGACGCGAGGTGCCCGGCAGCCGGCTCGGAGCGTGGC